TCACTCACACAGTTTAGAAGGTGGATGCGTTTCATTGTTCATTTCACTGTGTTGCACAAGGCTACGTAACGGCCCGATAACCGCACCTTAGCGCTGGGCAATAAAACAATAATGATAATTAATAACAAAATAACAAATTAGCACTTAATTTTTCTATTAAGATATTTATTTTGTTGAGGGACTTAATTTAACTTGTGCGTATTTGTTATCATAATATTTCTGCCTCATTGATCCATACCAGGCTGCTGTTCAGCATATCAAGTGTTAAGTGCATAAAAGTTTAAAACTACGAAAAGAAATCAGCCTTTAACCTTGAAAGGAAAAATAATTTGACATAATTATTGATATCAAATGATTTCATTTTTGGCCGTATCACCCAGTCCTATCGGACCGGATACTTTGATGTTCCACTATGTTCACCAGCTGCTCTCTAACTGTGTCTGTCTGCTGTGTACAGTTGGCTTTTTACAGCTTCTTACCTGAAAATGACGCTTTGAGGGTGAACCGGAACAGGAAAGCTGCAGCCAGAGAGACAACCAACCAGCTGAAAGTCACTTTAAAGCTGCAGATTCAGCTGATCAGTGACTCCAACACGCTGCCACTTCTTACATTATTATAAAAATAAACATAATAGCTGCTTCTAAGCAGCCAAAGTGTCTCCACACCAGCGACTTGATACCAGAACAGGAGCATGTGTTTAAACAGTTAAAATGTAGTCATATGATTGGTTCACAGAACCACCTCATATTTCATTTGTTCTGCCCCCCCGACCCCCATCCCATTAAGTCAGATTTCCACCAATCAGAAGAGCAGCGTCACCAGTCCAGATCTGAAAAGTCACACGATGCTCTGATTGGTTGTAGGTCTGGACCTGCGTCTAGTCTGCAGGTCTGTCCAGGTCACCGGGCTCACAAACATCAGGCTGGGGTTATTAATATGTTGTCAAACGAAGGTCTCTCATCAGGGAGCTGGTTGTTAATTGTAGATTTTAAAGGGTCAATATTAATGTTGTGTATTTTGCTCAAAATATATATTTAAATAATTAAATCAACATCATAAACGTGCGACGACCAGTCGATTAGGCAACACCTGTAATCAGGTTCAGCCCTTGTGCTCTAATTTACTCTCTGTGTTAGTGTAGGTACGTATTTTTAAATTTACCGTATGTTCATCCTCCATAGCAACGCCAGAGCCCAGCTGAGTGTTTAACAGAAATCAGCTCCAACCATCAGTTCATTTCCCAGTAAAGTGCCTGGAGGACATCGCTGACAAAGGAGCAGCAGCGCAGACTATTACATTTACATTTACTCACATCCATTAATCTGTGACTCCCTAAGTGACGCTGCTCGGACATCCACGATAAGGCTGAGTGGATGATAAAGAGGAGCATTATAAACTGCTGAGCCACACATATTAACCAGCGAGGGGACGCCGAGAGACAACCCATCAATATCCTGATGCAGCGGCCGGAGAACGCAGCGGAATACTAACACAGGTGGAGTCTAACGATGTGAGCTGAACGTTTTGTTCCCGTCTAAAGCTGCTCGGTGTCAGAAAACAACAGCTGGGAAACACAGAGGTGTTCCAGCTGAGGTATTCAGATCCTTTAAAAGTGCTGCGATCAAAACCTTACTGTAGTAAAAGTATGAAAGTAAAAGTAGTCATAGTGCAGTAAAATGTGTCTGGATTAAACTTCCTGCTACATTAATGTGTATTTTACTGCTGTAGGTGTTGAAGGTTCATTTTAACTCTGTGTTTCCAACATATAGACTTTACTTGGGCAGAATATAAATAATATGCAAATTAGGTACTTCCTCATTGAACATGCATTGATTTGTACATCACACAAATCCATTTTCCAGCAAATTCATATCCGATTTTTTGGGGTTTTTTTCCATGGATTTATTAACAATAAAGGACTTTTTCCCCCCCACATATTTACAGATAAAATGCCACGTAAAATCAGAATTACAAAAGATAACAGTGTGTCATGATGAGCTCACTGCCTTCAGGGGCGAGAAAAATGACTTGGCGTACAGGAAACGTGTCATTTTGAGATAGTGCTGGGCAATAAAACAATAATGATAATTATCAGAATATAATTTTCCTCAATAACACTATAACAAATGTTCAATATGTTGTCAATAAATGTTTGATTTAATTCATTTGAATCCTGAATGAATTATTATTATTATTATTATTATGATGAATTATAAATTTTTCAATCAAGATATTTATTTTGTTGAGGAAAAGGGACAGAAAAATATTTAATAATCATATTTTTTGAAAAGATATTTGATCATTTTGAATGTTCTACCTCAAATTTGTGAAGTGATCCCTCAAGTGTCACGTTCTGACCATAAAGAAAAGTTTAACCACACAATTAACCATCTGGCTTCTTAAATCAGCCTTTACACTTGAAAGAAATGATGATTTAACATTTATCGTGTGAAAACAAGCTTTCAAACGACGAATATGAAGAGTTTTAAAAAGAGCAGTCAAACTTTCACATGGAAATTGAAAAACAAAGACGAGATGTATGTGATCTGCAGTTGATGGACTATAAAATAGACAAATATTAATGTTTATATATATTATTCAACACTGTTTTGTATGTTTTATGAAAGTTTGTTAATAATATAAAAATATCTGGCAATTTTGCATTTTGCAGAGAACACAGAGAGGTTTTATCTGGTATCACACAACGTGGACACGGTGGATATTTTACGAGCACGTTCCAAGGTAAAGCAACAGTGAACACCGGCGCAGATTCGGTACCACGTTGGCTTCGATCATTTCAATAGGCTGCGTCATTAACCAACAACATCCACGTGCTGCTGCTGTGGAAACAGAATAATGGGTGGTGAGTTCTGGCGACATTAAATAAACATACTGCTGATGGAGTAAGAAGATACACGCAGGGAGAGGAAACTGCCGCCGCCGCCGCCGCCACACTGTCAGTCTGTGGGAAACACGGACGTTGGAGCCTCAGTCTGAGATCACATGATGCAAAAACCCTTCAGAGTCTGAGCTGAGTGAAGAGATTCAGGATCTGATTGCTCTCCGCCTGCGGTTTTCTTCGGCACCAGCCGGAGCTTTTATCGGCTGCTAATTGAATTTCCTCCACACTGCAGGCCATCAACACCCTGCGAGATGCCCCGCTGCGCCCTCATTATGCGAGTGTGAGAAAAAGGACTGTGGTGAACTGTAACCTGCAGCTCCAAGAGGAAATAAAATACATGTAGCGCTTGGTTGCTACGAGCTTCTAAAAAATACCTACGCTATCCTACAGGAGATTTGTCTTTACAGGGAACTGTTCAGAGAGAAACCTGAGACACTGAAAGGGACGGCGTGTTTATGACCACTTCCACATGTAGTTTTTCTAAGCTTATAGCCTTTGATTGTTTGTTTGATGAAGCGGTTTTCGTTCTGTGTGTGTGTGTGAGCTGCTGTTTATGAAACCAAAATGTCCCTTTAAGCCGACGAAGCCGAAACATGTTGTTGTTCAGAGATAAGAACTTCTCTCTGTGGCTGAAACCTAATTATCCAGTTAACCACGGAGACAAACACCCTTCCGCCACATCAGGACGCGGCGCTACGCGCGGCGTCACGAGCCGACACACTTTAAAAGCGGCCCTCTCCCAAAACGCCGTCTAAACAAAGCTGATTTCTTCTCGCCACCCGTTTCTAAGCTGCTCCACTTGCTGCCAACAGACCTTCACAGTGTCATTTGCTCCGAGACTAATTGAGAGGTAATGAGTTTGGATTCATCCCCACAGCCGTGTCACTGGAGGAGCGGCCCTGTTAATTAAAGCTCAAACGAACGTTGATGAAAAGCCGACAGTCACAGATGAAGTACAGGACTGGAAATCTGTTCTGCTTCTCAAAGTGACATCTTCAGATAAATGATTTCCTCACTTCTGCTGCCGATACACAAACAGCAGAGAGTCCACGTCCAACAGCTGACATTCACCGTTCTGCTGAAACAGGAGGAAGCTTCTCGATTTACCTAAAGATGCAATTAAAGATTCTTTTCTCGATTAATCGTTTTGTTTTGTAAAATGAAGACGCATTCGAATGTCTTGTTTTGTCCAGTTCAGTTAGACGGAGACAAGCAGCAAATGCACATATTTAAAATGCTGCAACCAGAGACTGTTTGCTTTGTAAAGACGGATGAGTTTGTCCAACGGCTGAATAGGCCGAGAAAAGGGGAGTCGCTCAAAGAAGCAGAGCCTCCAGCACATTTCGGATTTAACAACTCAATAATTAGCGTTGCGAGACGAAGGAAAAGTATTTTGTTATTATTGAATATGATTCAACCACAGAGATCAGAGTGGAGCACTGAACCGCAGGACGACCTAATGAGCCGACCTCTGCAGACTCTGCCTGAGGGAATCACCCAGAGTTCATAGCGCCGTGGCGTTAAACACGGGGTTACCAGGAGAAGCCTGCATTTTTTTTTAAAAAGGTAAACAAACATGGAAGCTACAAGAAGAAAAAAGACGTTTACATGAAAGTGTGTGAGGCAAGTAATCTTCAAATAATCAGTTTACTCTGCAGGACGTTCAGATCAAGCCGTCGGTCCCTTCAGTGCCTCGGACGTAAAGGAAGTCTACTAAAAAGTCCCAAACTCGTGACGTCAGCTGAGTCTGTGAGGGTTCAGGGTTTGGATCAGGGTTCGGATCTAAGACAACAAATCTGCAGCTGCAAAGCCTCCAACGCTGCAGCAAGATCTAAATAAAATTCAGCTGATCCGAGAGCAGCTTCACAGTGTTGGTTGGTCTCTGGTTTCACTGCTGCAGTAGCTGATCAATGAATAAACCAGATTAGAGCGGTTTTAAAAAGTGAAGCAGCGTTCGCTCACCCCAGCTGTGCTTCATGTTGCAGCTCAGAGGACTGACTCTAACGCTAACCAGGGGGCGACCTACTGCAGGGACAGCAGCTCAGGGGCATTATGGGTACAAATCCAGTTCGCAGTCAAACAGAAAACAGGATCTTACCCCTGTCTGTCTCCGTCCACCAGGATTCGCACCAGGATGCCTGTAACAGCCACCAGGATGGGGTAGTGGTCTACGCTCTCCAGACCTGCAACACACACACAATTATATGAATCAAATGTTTTTATATAGTTCAGCTCAGTTACTAGTATTTTTTTACGGTTACATTTTTTATTATTATTAAAAATATTCACACTTTATTTATTTCACACCTGCTTTGGCAACGTAAACATCTGTTTCCCAGTAATAAAGCTCTGATGACATAACTTGACCTGAATGAACTAAGGCGTGTGTGTGTGTGTGTGTGTGTGTGTGTGCGTGTGTGTGTGTGCGTGTGTGTGTGCGTGTGTGTGTGTGTGCGTGTGCGTGTACCTGGCAGTCTCAAGTTGACGACGCGATCAAACAGGTTCTTCTCTGCCGTCACTCTGTTCAGCACCTGGTTCAACAGCTGAAAGACAAACGAAAACGGGTTCACGTGAGTCCGGCGGCGGCGGCGTCGCCTCTCTCTCTCACTCTCTCTCTCTCTCTCTCACTCTCTCTCTCTTCCTGTCGGGCTGGAATAGAGTTCATTTTCAGGGAGACCTCGCCGCCACACAGAAGATGAGGATGCGCTGCGGTATTGATGATTTGGCACGAGAGCTGTTGTCATAGCAACAGGTCCTCAAATCCTGAACTGCAGAAGTGCAGCTTAGCGACAGCCGGATCAGGAACCAGACGTTTATTATTGTGAAGCACAAACAGGAAGTCATTTAAAGGCAGGTAAACTGGCTCTTTTCTTATAATTGTGATGACGTGGAGTCGAGGAATCGTCACTGTTTAGTTTGCCTTTACTTCAAAATAAGACCTCCTACTCATGATAACGTCATCTAGAGCCGGAGAACCGAGTTGCTGGATGAGTAAACAGGGTTCTGGACTGAAGGTGTGCTGTGACACACAGGCCTGGAGCTGTTTGCTGAATAAACTGGAGGCTGTCCGCTGGAGCAGACGGGGTAAAGGGCCTCGCTCGAAGGCTCCTCCGTGGTGGTAATGAGGGAGGGGCCAGTGCAGCCTGGTCACCCCCCCCCCCCCGATTTATCATGCTGGTCTGGAACTGGTCACGAGCTCACTTCTCTAACCACCGCAGCCTTACTGCACGTGTCTGCGGCAGAATGCGTCACAGCAACACTTTCATAAACTTTCCGCTGATCAGCTGCATGGAGGCGACGTAGGTGTCAGGGTTTGAACTTCTCTCTCAGACCTCTTTCTCAGTCTTTACTTGACTGTCACTTCTCACGTGTTAGTGGGATTCCCCCGGACAAGCTGCAGCTACAAGACCGCGCCTGAAGTTTGAGAGTATTTTAGACCGACACTCAACAACGCGCAGCTCCGTGAGCTCTGTGAACTGGAAATTATCCCGGAGCGCTGACGGCAGCACCGCAAATCCTCTTTACTTTCTGTCTCCCCACGAGCACGGCGCGTTATGAGCACGGGGAGTAAAGTAGCCTAATTAATGTCCGTTTCTGTTATTATCAGTGACGTGGAAATTTGATTCATTTTATGATCTGCTGCTATTGTCATTACTCTAATGTGCTTCATCAGGATGATTGAATAAAATATTGATGTATTGATTATACACGTTTTTTATGTTAATCGAGTAATAGGCAGCATTTTGTTTTCTTTAGAATACACAAAATCGGTCGTTAGATTAATCGATTTGAAAAATGACTGTTTTGTACAGCCCTACTGAGGTCTGTCACACTACGAATGTCTCCAGGAGAGACTAAAGATGTGCGCCGTTAACTCCATATTTAAACGATCTCAGGCCTCCGCCTTACAGTGTGGACGTTCCGAGAGATAGAAGCACGAGACGTCGTGCAAACTAGTTCTTTTTAAACATAACCTCACTGAATTGGAAGCTGGCAAACAAGAGAAATCCACCAAACGAAAGCAGCCACTCTGTGAAGCACTCGGACGTTCGTGTGAATTACCTGAGCCAGTCGTCTGAGCAGCAGCTCTGCAGAGGGACGGGACCAGTCCAGGAAGATCTCCGGTACCAGAGTGACCGTCATCTCCAGCACTCGCAGCAGGCTGACCGACAGGTCGAAGCAGGTGGCGCAAACCTGGAACAAGGTTTTACAACACGAGTGAGCGGAGCGGCTGACTCTGCAGCAGGTGAGCCTGCAGACACACATAGCTACGATACAAGTCATTCATTTGAGTTTACAGCAGCACTGTTCAATCCAACAGGCTGGAGGATCTGTGCAAAACCATCATTAGCGAAAGAAATGTGGGCTCAGTTTTGTTTTCTGATTAATTGATTCATCATTTTGGAGACTGGAAAGAAAAGTGAGCGAGGAAGTTGAACTACCTGAAACATACGCGTGTGTGTTACTTGATTCCAGCTATCACTGCTTCAAATTAAACAAGTTAGCACATCAGAGCCCCGATCAGCATATTGAAAGTTGTTTCATCTCGCAGACAGACCTGACGAAGCATGAACTGGTTATTTCGGCATCATTTTGATCATTTGGATCATTTGGGGTCATTCATTGATACCACTGCAGTAAATAATCACGGGTCGTGTTTAGTCTCGTGAGTAAACACAAATAATCGCAGGAAATGTCACAGGAAAAGGCTGATTGGAGAGCTTGTGTGATTACCTTCAGCTGACGAGTGTCCACAAAGTTTCTCTCTGGACGCTCTGCAGCCTGCTGGATCTGAAAGTGGACAGAAGCAAAGGAGAGGATGAAAAAACAGGAAAGCAGGAAGGTACGTCATCACACCTTTAAATGATCATTTTCTGTTAGTTAAAGAATTTAAACAGCTGGATTGTAAAGCTCAACATTTTTATACTTACTTGCCTGATTTGAAAAGGATTAAATTTCAGATGAATGTTAACACATCACAAAATAAAACCAGTTCAACATAACGAAGCCGCTGACACTCAGTGATCTTATTATTTCACTCTGAAACGCCTCGCATGACACATTAACTGCAGCTTCACTGGGACTGTTAAAACCCTGATTTCTGCCTGTTAACGGGCCGAGTGAAGCAGCTTCCTGTATTCCTACAGAGCTGTAAGAAAATTATTAATCGTACCGGCAGTCAGACTAATTTTACCTGCTGACAAAACATGTTTATTCTGTGGTTAAATTAACTGTATACACAATGATGCCACACCTTCTCAGCAACACCACCTTAAAGTACCTTTAAAAAAACAACAACTGTGTTTTATCTTGAGGTATCCTTGTTGTTATTCCTGCTGTATTTTATATTTCATTGCACTGTGTGGTTGTTTTGGGTTTATGTTGTAAAGTATTATGTAACCTCTGTGTGAAAGAAGAGCTCCATAAATAGAATGTATTATTAAAGCAGACTGGGGGGTCTCCAGTCATGCTAGCGGCTCTGTGAGGCTGCACACGATCTGTTAGTCTTAGTTCAGCATGGATGAAAAGTCAGAGGATCATCGAAAGATATTACAGTTCACCCTGAGGGGGGCGTGAAGGTCTGAAGCACATTTCATCCAACAGCTGCTGAGATGTTTCAGTGTGGAGCAAAGTGAAGAGAGACACGCTGCTAATGAGGCTAAAAAGTCTCAGAAATGAAACACAATGATGCTCTTATAGCAGATCATGTGGAGTGAAATGCTGAGTGCATCACAGAGAGAACAACAAATAGCGCTGCTGTGCTGAAAATACCAGATATTCCCTCAGGAATATGATCAATTAGAACACTAAGTGGTGCTAAGTCGGATGATTGTATTACTGAGGATTTATCTAAAACCCAAAATAATCTTATAAAGGGAGAAACAAACTATTTTTAGCACCTGCTCTTATTTTCACACTGTGATTGATGAAGTCTGGATGACACTGAGGCATCTGCGCTGCTGTCTGCTGTCTTCATGTTAGAGTTTTAATGGTGTTAAACTGGCTCTGTGAATCCTTTTTCTGGTGGTGCATTCAGGAGCTGAAGTGAAAGTCGGAAAAGAGAACTTAACCTTTCAGCTGCCACGTAGAGCTGCACTCATCAGCTGTGTTGCTATATCATAATAATTATGAGACACTTCTGCATGTTTGCTGATGTGTCTGTCCTGCTGATCGTTCAGCAGTCCCCGCTGCCCGGTTCTACCTCACACCTCCTTGTTTTCTTTTTGTTTTAGTCAAAGATAAATGACAAAACAACTCTCTTCAGCCGGGTATATTTCTCAAAACAAACCTCCTCAAACCCGCAGGACTTTATTTTCTAGTGGAGTTCCTGCTGTTTCCACGAATATTAAGCACATCGGGCTGAATTATGGGTAATGTGACGATCGGGCCTACATGATGCCCTGCTGGTGGTCCGTGTTCTCTTACCTCCTGGATCATGCCGATGAACTCGGAGAAGGCCCAGTTGAGCTGGTTCAGGACGCTGTTGAGGAAGGAGGCGGCCATGTCCTTGTCCATGCTCAGCAGCTCCGCCATGTGCCTCTGCAGCAGCAACGACGGGCACGGCTCTAAACCAATCGGACGACGGGGAGGAGACAGGTAAACAAACAGTGGAGGCAGTTATTTTAACAGCGTGTCGTCTCGCAGAGGAGCAGTAGATCTGCAGCTCCCAAAGAAGCTTAGACGAGTTAACGTTCTGGTCCATCAGCCCTGAATGGAAACAGCACAGGTATCTAAAGGCCATGTGTTGTGTTTACTGCCACACAAGAGGAATAACTCCCTACTTTCTGTTTGGCTGAAGGCTTGTTAACATAAACAGCTGCCTCCAAACCTCCTGGTTATTGAAGCGGCTGGCTTTAGCTGGCGGATTAACGCCGATCAGTGTGGCGATAACATCATGAGCTCACAGACTATTTTATATTCAATATTGTGCATTTCAACAACATCAGCTTCTGCCAGGCGGCTTGATTTGATCTTTTCTGGGTGTAGTCACACTGTAAACGATGTAGTTAAGGCCTCGCCCTGAAAAACAACTCCCATTGCAGATAAATGTGTCTGTCTGTCTGCTGCCACCACCTGTCTGTCCTCACGTACCTGTCCGCATGTCCTTTACTTGTGGCTTTGTGACTGATTTATGCGTCTGTGTGTGATAATGCTGCACAACATCATCTTTTTGAGTCCATATCAACATGAATGTCCCCCATTGTCTTGTATTTTGAGCCTCTGTGTTGCATGTTTTAAATATTACCTGAGCTTGTAGGATTAACATGCCGTTTTTCTTTTCATAAATTTTTACTTGTTCTGATTATAAATGATGTCAATAACCATTTACTCTTACATTCTGTTTGTATAGTGACTCTAGCGTCTGTCCTGGACTACAGATGGTTTAACTCTTTACAACAAGGTTTATTGATATGCTCTGTTCCTGATAACGACACCAATAAATAAATAAAGACAGATGCGACGAGTCAAGGTAAGAAGCAGGGAGGACCAGGATAAGAGCCGATAAGTCCTACAGTGTAGGTAGGAGTAGAGAGACAATGGATAAACAACTGAGGAGAGACTATGTCTGGTGAGGACTTTAAAATAATACCTATATTTATGATTTATAGACAATTCAGGAAATCCAGGAAAATAAAAGGAAAAAAGGAGAGGGGAAAAGGATGCGAGAGGGATAGAGGAGGAGGAAGGGCAAATCAGGAATGAAAAAATGAACACACAGAGGAAAAGAAGACGAAGAGGATGAAGAGGAGGAGGAAGACATGAGGGGAAGCTCTCCAGCCTCCGGAGGGAGACGCGATGGGAACACTGTGGAGTCAAGTGTTCATTAAGTCTAATAATCCCTGTTCCTCCTCTCTGTCCTCGTCCCGAAAGGATAAAATCTCTCCATCTGCTCTGAAGCATGAAAGACTGTTTATCATCCTGAAGATACTGCAGAGGTCAGACTACTGCAGAAGACCAGAACTGGTTCTGTGGTACAGTATCACTCTGAGGTACTTCAGTATTTCCATTATATGCTACTTTATACTCCACTACATTTATTTGAAAGCATCTCTGTTACTTCACAGTCAAGGAATTTACATTAAGAACGAATGACAACTGTGACAGATTAAACTAGCGAACCATTTACAAAGCAGTTGAAACGAGCTGTGTATGAAATAGTTAAAACTAGCTCCACCTCAAACAGGAACATGGGACTCAGAAATAATACTTAAACTATCAAAAATAAAAATAAGTTTAGCGTACAAACAAATGCACATGTAAATTACTGCCACTTTGTTTGTTCTTTACACATAGCTCTACTATTCTTGTATCTTTATATTCCATGATTATATATTTTTTTACATCTATTTATGCCAACTGTAAGTTCATGTTTATGCCTGGCACCTAATCACAATAGCAAATTCCTTGTATGTGTAAAATACTACTTGGCAGTGGAGCTCTTTCTGATTCTGGTACCTTTACTTAAGTGGTATTTTCCACGCAGGACTTTTATCTTAATGCAGTATTTATAAGTTGGAGTTTTTCTGCTTTGACTTAAAGGGACATTATGAAACTTTTGAAAGGAGAAATGACACATTCGTCTATTTAAAAATTAAAAGTTTGACTCCGTTCTTCAGTCAAACTTATCATTACTGGCTAATGTTAGCTAATGTTTAGCAGGAGTTCATAGTAACATAACAATTGATTCCTTATCTACTGTACATATGAGCTGTTTTAAAAGAGAGAAAGGGCACATTCTGTAAGCTAAAACCAAACACACTGTCTGTAGATAATGAGATGTCACATCTTAACATTCACTATTAGGGATCACTGGTCCAGAAAATTCACTGCATCTTCTAACTAATCAGATTGAAGAGCTTCAGGTGACACGGTGCGCTGAAACAAAGGCGACAGTAACAAGAAAAAATGAAGACAGTGACAACCTAACAAAAACTGGAGCGATGGAAAATAACTTACTTTGGAAACTAGCAATGGAAAGATCCCCTGAAAGGCATGCAAATGAGAAGGCACACAGATGAAAGTCAATTATCATGCAGGAAGCAGAAAATCACAATTAAGTGGAGAAAAATAAAGAGGGGCAGAGAAAGCTTTGAAACAAAGAGGACAATTACACGGCAAAGCATGCTTAACACTACAGTTAATTATTAAAAGGAATATTATTTGCTTGCTTTTACAAAGTCAGAAGTCTGTTTATATCTCCATCATCTTTGTAGCCGTGTTTCCATCAACATTTTTTAATGTGCATTTTGAAGTATCGCATTAGAAAAGGTTTATGGAAACGGCATAATTCGAAAAAAATTCCTTAATTTCGCTAAAAAAAGTTTTTACGCTCGCTTGAGGTGGTTTTTGTCTTTGTTGAAAGAGTAAATGCGCTAAATGGGAGATGGAAACACTTTTTCCGAATAAGTTCTGACGTAGCAAACTTGTAACTCACGTCTGATCAGCTGTTTCTACTGTTGGCGTCTTGATCGGTTGTGCGAGTTCTGCATACCTGCGAGAATTTTATGCACCTCGCGGCTGGTAACGCTCATTTGTCCAGAGAAAAGAGGTGGTTGCAAATCTCGGCAGGTAGCCAAATTATGGATTCACCTCTTAAAGGTCCTTTTCAGATCCTTTGCTCTGCACACTAATCAAACGGGGTAATTGCCGCACATTTTTGCTGAATTTCAATGAATTCTACTTCTACTGAGTGTAATAAAATATTAACGACTCTAAACGTTCATACAATAGGCTACATACTTAGAATCATTTATCCCATTGATGATCCCCACAAAGGATATTATAGCGTTTAAAAGCATTATTTGGAGGTGCATGGTTAGCCTAGCTTAGCACGAGGACTGGAAGCAGGAGGAAAGAAAAAATATGTCTTCCAATAACTCAAAACGGTGAAGTTTAAATCTCATGTAGAGTCTCCTGAGTTTCAGAGGACGCAGTGACCCTATGAGGACAAGACATCTGAGCTCTGATAGGTTGAAAGATAGTGACCTCACCGCTCTGTAAACCACAATGTTGCGTTTTTACATGTGTTAGATAAAACATGTAAATTAGACAGCTTTAAAGGACCTTTAAGGATTATAAGCTCAGGGGCCTTTTATTGGAAGGTAAAGCTGCATGTCATCAGCATAAAAATGAAATAAGTTGCCATGATGGCAAAGAATATAACCAAGAGGGAGCTTTCACATCTGCCACATGGGAACGTTTTTAGAAAAAGTATGTATGTAGTGAACAGCGAGAGACAACTTATTTGTTCTATCCTTTTCGACATGAGCCCCGAATTACACACATGATGTTTGTCAGTTTAAAAGATAACTTAAGTCAAGAAAGTCACAGTTTGTTGTAAAACAGTAAAGTTACATTTAGTTTAGTATGAAACCGTTCAATGAGCTCTCGTCTCGCACAATATACGTCACCAACATGTTAGCACTGTAATGCTAAGCTAACTTTATTGCTTGCTTGCTACTAGCTAGGTAACTTAGCTTATGTTACATGCACAGATGTATCTCCCCTGATGTGTTTAATCCAATGACTCATGGTCCTTTCATCACAATTTCTCACACATGTAAGCTCTTTGACGTTAGCTTCAGTAGCATTAGCTTCAGTTATAGAGAGAAAAGGTTCTGATGTCACAGACGCGACTTTCTGGGTCTGTGGTCTTTCTAATTACGTATTTTTACAGTCTTATACTTAAAATGTTTTATCACAAACTGCAACTTTCTCTCGCCGTTGACTACCATACATATTTTTTCCACAATAAGGTCCCATGCGGTGGAAGGAGAAGGGAGGGGTTTAGGCTTACTATATTGATTAACGTGTTATATCTGGTTTGCTTTTATCTAGACAAAATCCTAAAAACAGCCGCATGAGCCTGGTGAAAAGGTGATTTTTTTTTGTTTTTACGCTAAGATTTGTGTAACAATTAAACTAAGAGATACATAGTTTTATGATTGTTTTATGTATGATTGTTTTGTTCACCCTGTTTTGTATGTGGAAAAAACAAGAAAAATTGCTTTCTAATTACAAAAATAAATGATTGTATCTGTAAGAGTATTCCAATCTTTTTCAGCAATTAAGTGCTGAAATTATAACTGTAATCAGTGTATTGTGTAATCAGCTTGATAATAAATGATCTGTAATCACTCGGTTTTCTATACCAAAATAAACTGTCCACATATTCCACTTTTCCTCATCAACATTGACGAGTAGTGTAGAAACTAGAAAAAAAACACACATATTAGTCATTGCTGCTGTGATTTTACTTCATTCTTCAGAGGGAGACAAAATTATGGTGAGAAAACACCAGGGGCTGATTGAAGTGTGTGTCACAAACACACACACACAGATAATTAAAGCCGTAAATCAAACAGAAATGTAGTAAAAATAAACCTGCTGCAGACAGGCAGTCAAGGCCTCAATTTATTTATGGAAATCCATGAAAAGAAAAACAAAAGCAACTCAAAAGACAAAAGCCAGAGAGTCAGAAACCGACAAACTGCATGAGAAAGTGACAGCGAGAACAGGCACTGAAGGGAAGAAAATATTGATTTATTCATTTCAGCTTAATTCTTTTTAGGGTTGTTTGAAAGGCTGGAAATGATCCCAGGAACAGAAGAAGTCTGGAGACACCCTGGACTGCTCACCGGTGCACCACAGAGCCAACACCAACAAACAACACTCATTCACATTCCCACTGACGGCAGATTAAGCCTCCCCGCTGCCCACAAACAGAATGACTGACGGAGGAAACAGTCAGGGAGAAAACACACACAGCCCAAACATGAATAAATAAAAACAGAGAGAGAGAACACCTACTCTGCAGACTGGGAAGGTTGGCGTCCTCTGGTTTGGTTTTCAGGAGGTGAGGAAGGCGAGTGTATCTGTAGCCAAAACCACAGCCCTGAAAAATGTAAAAATATTAGCATCAAATATACTAACCACAAGTAAAAAGTACAAATTATGCAGAATTATATATTCAGTATGTCACAAAGGTGAGTACACCCCTCACTTTTTTGTAAATAGTTGATTATATCCTGTCATGTGACAACACTAAAGAAATGACACTTTGCTACAATGTAAAGTAGTGAGTGTACAGCTTGTATAACTGTACACACACTACTCACTGACAACTTTGCTGTCCCCTCAAAATAAAATAAATATAATCAAATATTTACAAAAATGTGAGGGGTGTACTCACTTTTGTAAGATACTGTATTTTTGGATTATAATTATAAAAGCATGAAAGTGTTTATCACGTTGCAGCTGGTAAAAGGTGGAGCTCATTTTAACTGGGGTGGCACAATGGATAAGATGCCTGCCTTTGGTGTGAGAGACCCGGGTTCAATACCCACTGTGAACCATCCACCATTGTGTCCCTGAGCAAGACAGTTAGTCTAGTTGCTCCAGAGGCGTGTGACCTCTGACATGTAGCAATTGTAAGTCGGAAAGGATAAACAAAATAAATGTAAATGCTTTATATACTGCTGCGTTGATAGGACCAATTTACTGGGGCTCCAGCCATGGTAGCAGCAGCCAGGCTCTCCCAGTAATGGAGAAGAGCCTTGTTGATGTTTTTTAAAGAGATGGTATTCTGCTCATTTAAAGGTTGTATCAGAGCAGGTTTACATGGTTTAATCTTCAAAAAACACCATATTTTTTGTCATACTGCACATTGCTGCAGCTCCTCTTTCCACCCTGTGTTGAAGGCTTCGTTTTAGCTATGGAGTGATACATCTTGTCTCTAAATGATCTTTGTTGGGAGTTGCACATGCTCAGTTCCTTTTTAAGGACTACTAGCCAATCAGAAGTAGAGAATGGCGGGTCAGCGAGAAGCCGGTAAACAGCTCGGGTTCAGCCGTACGTGTTGCCGACCGGCTCGAGTTTCAGAGCGGTGAGTTATTAATCTGTATCCATAAAGTTTTAACTGAGCTCTGTCTCTACATCACAGGAACAACTTTATGTCCACTGAGCTAGTGTTTGGAAGGGAGAGGAGAGCTGTGTGCTGCAGCTCGCTGTTTCTGAGGGCGTGTCGGAGTAGCCGCTCGGCGAGCGTTATGACACGTATTTTTACTGTGACGTCACAAGAAAGGGAAGTAAAGGCTGGACTCCAAACGAGCTGTTTTCAGGTAGTTCAGAGCAGAGTTTTCTGTGGGAGATGGGAACTCCCTTTGGGCTGGACTTTGCAAACCTTTAACATGCACAAAAAAAATTATATAACTCAATAAAGGAGAGGGAAAAAGCCAAAAAGCATAATACCAGATCTTTAAGAAAGGTAAAGGTAACGTCACATAGAAACAGGCCAACAAGTTTACCTGTTGTTTCGGCTATTATTTGTTCTTTCATTCTGGTGATGTGTTACAATTAGGCACAATTTACTCATACAGCTGTCTCCACGGCTATCATTAATTGCTGTTCTATTTCAGTCCCCTTTTGTTTGCCACTAAGATGTCTGTGATCCAGTGATATCTTAGTAATGAATACGTTCATTATCTTAGAGTGTATCCATATGTCTGCTCCAGCACCGTCACTTAGCCAGTTTCCCCCAGTGGTCACTCACAGTGCTGCTCAAAAATAGCCGCCCCTCACAGATCTCCACAGTGGTCTGCAAACCTGCTGACTGGACACCTCCAGCTGCAGATTCTCTCTGTTATTACTTCTTATGGATATTTGATTCTCAAAGGTTTTATATTGGTAAAACTCTCCCAGAAGCTAGAAAGCGGTTTTTATTTGCGGGACGTGATCTGAAAGGAAAGTCTGAAGTCTGAGTGGGGAAACACAGGACGCTGGTCGAGCAGTTATCGTGTGAGAGCAGCATCGATTTGTTATAAATCCATTTGTTGCTCTTAGCATGATTATGTGTGTGTGTGTGTGTGCTCACCCTCCACAGTCTGACCAGTATCCAGTTGGTCTGAGCCCAGGGTCTCTGTTCATACGGAGCCAGCAGATTCCTCATCATGGCAACACGTCTGAAATCACACAGACAGGTTCAGTCCATCCCCTGTTTATTCTTTTACTGTGAGCAACACCCTGCTGCCTCTGTACTCTAGTGAATTAATTACATATATTTATATATTTGGGCTTCGTGGTGGTGGAAAATAACATAACATGACTGCTGTCTGCATGTCTGTTTTCACCTTCAGCTGCTGAACTTTCTGAAAGAGCTTCCACATTATAGCACAGATGTGTTTCTCTGAGCTCAGGCTCATATTTCTATTCATGCTGGAACTCCCTGACTTCCTGTTCTGTGCGTATATTGTGTTAAAACCTAATGAAACTCCTGAGGAAGGAAGCTGCCCAAAAATGGATTCAAATGCAACATCTATAAAACTTTGACTAATCTTGGCCATCGTGTCCTGTAAACATGGCGTCTAATAACATTAAGTGCATTACTGAAAAAGGTAACTGATGTGAGACCAAGTTCGGGAATTAAAACAAACCAGATGTCTCATTGTTCAGGATTGTTTCAGCTCAATCTGATTCAATCAGGAGAATTGTTTCCACGTGTGATTACGTGTCCTTTGGGATGGGAGCAATGTGCTGTCCAATAATACGTGATTATCTAAATTAATGGGAAGAAAGTTTTACTAATAGTATAAAAAGCTGTTTTTATGGAACAGTTACAAATTGCTTTACAACAGGACAAAAAACACAGAACACAAACAGACATTTTTGTGTTATAATTAGGGTTGGGAATGGCAGGGTACATCACAATACAATACACAGCTCACGATAATATCACAGTACAGCAAATCTGCGATAATCGATATATCGCTTGACAATCCTAAAGTGATACATCGCGATATCTGTCTAACTATTAATACAAAATGCCCGTGAAAAAGTTTACTATTTATCTGTTGCAAATCGAAACTGTTGGTGGTGTTGGCGGTGGTGCTTTCAGACCAAAAGCGAAGGGAGCGTTCGGGGCCGTGAGTTTACATACAAAGTCAATGCAAAGACGAGTAGAGCCGCGATTTCCTGTCAGGCGAAGGGGGCAGGGCCGGCGACGCGAAGGCAATGCGAAGAATAGCCTATCATTGTTGAGATTGTCCGTACGTCACCGACGGCTTCAGAGCGATGTGTGGAGAGCGCCGGGCAGAGCGGGGGATTGAAAATCTGCCGGCAGCGCTGCAGCTTTTGGACAAATAAACACCCGTAGTCGGTCGGATCCTGCTCTGACAACTACGCCGTTTGCTCGTGGGAGGAGCTCGGAGTTAACTGCTTTTATTAAATTAGCTTTTTACTCTAGTTTTTGGGATTTCAACGTTGATTTATCTTCACTCGAGCTTCTCAGCAGCTTCCGTGCACATCGGTACCAGTGTTGTTGTTAGCGTCGTTAGCTCTGTCGGACTACGACTTCATATTTATATAAAAAAACGGACAAAAACTGGACATTACTTGGAGAAAAGAAAGCGAGGAGGTTGAACTACCTGGTGAGTTCAGAAAACATGTGTATGTAACTTTATTCCAGCTGTCACTTTACTGTGACCAAGTTAGCATATCATAGCCCTGATCGATCCAAACTCCATTCAGAAAACAAACATTTTATAAGTTGTTGTCCTGCTGACCGACCTGACAAAGCATGAATTCATATGTTTAACAAATCTGCATCATGTTGTAGTTATTTTGGCATCAGTTTAATCCGTTTATTGCTATTTAATCGCAGCAAAATGTTTACTTTAGGTTCATACAGCTGTAGTAATGGCGGGTTGTGTTTATTCACGTTAAAATCACCTTCTCACGCTGTGTGTGAACACTTGCAGCGAATGTACTCAGGCGAGGAAAGTGTCGTGAGGAGAAAATTCACGGTTGGTCTGAATGCCGCATTAGAAAACAGCAAAATTCTGCTGGCTGTAAATAAAACTACAGAGCAACTATGAAAGATTATTATCAAAACATTTGTTTATATAAGGCACATAAAATGCAAATTCACTGAATTCTTTACTGTAAATACAAATTGCTGCTGTGTACCACCTAAGTCTAATTTGTACATCACATTATATTAATAGCTGTATTTTTAGACTACTGGGAATATTGGGTTTGAGTTTAGACCCTTTGGGGTTGCTGTAGCTGGTCTGTGTGGAGTGCAGAAGAAGTACAGTAGCAGATCAAGACAGTGAAGTTAGGAGCCCTGTTTTATTTCAAAAGGGAGCTCAGGAAACATGTACTTTAAATAATTGCACAGTATGTCACTCAGGATGTTCACCATGTGAGGAAAAATGTGTAGTTTACGTTAAGATTGTATTATCGCGATGCTAATGTCCATTAGTACATTAATGGAGATTCCCATTAATCTAACCTTCGAAGCGCTATTTTTTAATATTATGTATCGATATGACGGTCTGGAATATTGATACAGTATCATGGAAAAATGTCCAACGATATATAGCCATTTCGATTTATTGTCACACCCCTGTTTATAAAAATTATACATTTTTTACAAAACAACACTTTTTTAAGGTGATTTAATAAAGGAAATGATCTCAGGTGAGTCAGCAAATGCACTTACTTGGTGTTTGAGTCTACAAGTTAGAACAACAGGATGAAAAATATCTGAGGAGATTCGGAAGCGACGGGGGAAATAAACTACTCTAACATACACAAGTAATCAAGTAAAATTTTTGTGGATCAGCTAATTGATGAATCATAATCAATCCCTTCAGCTGCAGCTGGAATTCGGTGACTGGAAACAAGTCCTGTCAAGAAGTGACGAACAACAGAAACACTTTAGTCTTTGAAAGATTTTGAATATGTAGAAAACAGGAGGGAACCATAGATTTTATGTCTAAACCACGACTCTGAAAGTGAAATTACAGGATGAGTCCAAGAGGATGTGAATCATGTCGGAACCTTTGATTGGCATCTCATTTATCCCTTTTTAGTTGGACAGGAAATACATGGATGAAGATACTACAATGAAGGCAGAGCTACCAAAAAAAAGATTTGCAGAGCTTAGATAAATCTGTGCATCGTCTGCATATAAACTGACCTAAAGGAGGCATGGAAATAATAAAAGGACCAAGTATCGAGCCTTGAGGCGTACCCACTGTAGCTTAGACCCAGAAGGATGGACGGAAAGCCAGAATCAGCTGATAACCAACTGTTGTTGACCCTGTCAGAGTGAATAAAACCTGTTGCTAGAAACGTCTGGTTGAGCAGTAATTTATATGTGGATACGAGACACACGTAACACTGCTAAGGTTTTATAAATTAAACATAAAATGTGGCGTGTTAAGGTCAGGTTATACTTTAGCGTCGATAAGCACCTGACTTCGTCAGCTACATGAGCATTTATACGTGAGCATTGGGGTCTGTGTCGCTAAAACACCAGTTGGCTGTGGGGTTTCTATGGTCCACTGTGTTGAGTTTCTTCTTCCTCTATGTTGGTGTAGGCTGCTACAAACAATGGCCAGTGAAACTGAGCAGGTCTTGTTGGAGTTGGAGCTGATGGATGCAGCAGTTACTTTTAGTGAAACTGCTAAAGGTAATCAAGCTGGAAATGTGAAATGCTACCAAGGCAACCAATTACACTTCTTGCAGTCTGAATCGCTGCAATGTGTAGTTGCATCTGTAGATTTCATCTGATTTAATTTTTATTATTTATAGTATGTTTATTCTATGTCTGCTGTGTTTTTTTTTGTTTCTATGTTGTGTTTTTGCTTGCTATGTGAAGCACTTTGTAACTTTGTTTTGATAAGTGCTATATAAATAAAGATAAAGAGCGGTTTCTGTTTTCTACTTTTTTCTAAATCCAAGTCAAAAATATCAAACACATTACGCTTAAATAAATTATTTCATCAGTAACAATCTGTCTCTCCTGTGAAACAAAATTGACAAAGACAAGCACTCACTGTTCCTCTGGAATCCTCTCCACTGCCCTGAGGGATTGTGGGTAACAGACGTAGCTGGCCAGAGCCTGCATCAGAGAGTCTTTGATATCTGAGCAAAAGAGAGGACAGATATTTTTAATATGACGACAACACATTCAAACCCAACAAAAAAACATTTCAATCAACTGCAAGACTAAAAATATGATTCTCAGGTTATTAAAAACCATCAGATACGAACTGCTCGTGTGACATGAGATTTACGTCTTTGCAGAACTTCTTCTTCCCTGCTTGTTTAGCACATGAATTCCTCCACAGTAATAAGAATCATGTCTCTTTATGAACATTAGATAACTAAGAGTTAGTCACTTCCACTGACAAAGCACCTAAACTAGTTTACAGTGTGTTTAATGGCTTTACTTTCCAGGAATTTAATTTCAATTCAACACAACTTTATTTATCCCTGTAAGGCCGTTGTATGCAGCAGCTCGCCACCAGTATCAACACTGTTAATCACCAAACAAAATCAAAGGCTATAAAAACTCCATGTGGAACTGGGAACGCATGAGTGTAAACATAAATAATTAAAAGGGCAACAGTTTTACAGGCAGGTGGAGCAAAGCGACGTGAGTCAAGTGCTGAGGTACATTTATTACACTCATTGATTTCCGGGACCCAAAAATAACTCTGATCCTGTTGGAACATATCTTAACGTCACTGACAGACTGTGGAACCAGCAATAAAAGAAAAGGTCAGCAGACTCTCAATAAAAACATAAACTGACAGAGAGTAACTGAACGGAAACATTTTCATTTTCAGAGAAAGTCTTCCGTAGCCACGCTTAATCACGTCTGTGTTCCCATACCACTTCAGCTGGTGGCCCAGTAGTGCTGGTGCACACTTTGAGCTCTGACACGATCTGACTGGTGAACCCGTTTGGACCTTCCAGTTTATACTTGCTGATAAGAAGCTGACGGATCACTGCAGTCTGATCATGATCAACAACCAGTCACGTATAAATTAACCAGCCACAACACACTGAGAGCAGACACAAATATGTAGACATTAAACACATGAAACGTCCAGCTGAAGCATGCTGAAATAAATGTACAGGGTGAGAAACTCTGTCTCTGATCTGAAGTGATAGTGTTCGGTTTAGCAGATATTGGGATGTTAATTTTAATGGCTGCAAATGTTTGCAAAGGTGCAAACATATTTCCTCTTAATTAAAGCTTTTAGTTGCGGTCATGGATCTACTGTAAGTTCCCTCATAAATAATAAAAGGAGAAAGACAACAACAACTTCTGTGTAATACAGAAATGACACTTCAGAAAACAGAGCTACAGATAAATAATACAGTATATAGAAAGGAGGACATTTACTGAGGACTTTTTTCAGGCCTCATTAAAACACTGACATAGTGCTTGACTATAGCTTTGTCTCAATTCGGATACTTCCGTTAGTACAGTTACATGCAGTACACTGTGTACTTACTTGCGTAGTGTGTAAATTCCAACAGGTTAGTGTTGTCTCGAATCAAAAACAGATGCGGAGCACTAACTGAAAAATGATAATCGCAACACTTCACCTCTTCTTCTTGTTTTAGTAGCCGCTCGGTGAGCGTTATGAGGCACGTTTAGCTTTCATCCCTGTGACGTCACATGGATGAAAGGGAAGCGGCTGGACTACAAACGAGCTGTTTTCAGTTCAGAGCAGAGTTTTCTGTGGGAGATGGGAACTCCCGTTTGGGCTTTTTCACTTTGCAAACCTGCTACATGCACAAAAAAGGTATAAACTCAATAAAGGAGAGGGGTAAAGGCTAAAAAAAGCATAATATGACCTCTTTAAAGTAAATAACATTGTGAAAAAAGAAGCATAAACACTGCAGACACACAGTGTTTATGTACAGTGTGTGTGTGTTACCTGTTCCTACAATACGTGGGTCAGCAAAGTGCTTGGCAAGGATAGCAGCTAGCTGAGTCAAGGTTTCCTCGTAGCCTGAGGGGGGAAACAAAGAAATGTTCACACATCATGAAGTTCTGCTTACGGGCAGGAAACATGTTCAGCAGGCCGACCTCCACCTGACAGCATTCTGACCTGGACACACACACACACACACACACACACACACACACACACACACAGTGGCACACAGGTAATGATGGCGCTGTGTGAGTGTGTGCTTGAAATGCAGAGAAACGTTTCACAGACCTGAAAGATCAATAAGCCAATCTTCTAACAGTTTCCTGCCGTTTACTGCAGGCGTCTGACATTGAACCGTGTCTTACCTGGCAGCTCCTCCATGCTGTTTGCAGGGCTGAAGTAGTTCTTGAGGGCGCTGTATGCATTCATGGCCACGTTGAGGTAGAACTCTGGAGCAAAGGCGAACAAAGACCCGGTGTTGTCGGCGTGTTCGATGGTCCGAATGCAAACACACAGCAGCCAGTACACATCCAACATCTTGTCCTGGACAAACAGAGAGAGTGACTCTTATTCTCAAGTCTTTATCTGGATCCTCATCCACATCCACAAAGTGCTCGTTAGTCTTCTGAGCTCCACACGAAAGCAATAACAATAAAAAACAACTATTCAGAATCAGACAGGATCAATAAAACAAACAATAAAAGAAAGTAAAACAAGAAAAAAAAAAAATACAACTGACATCTATGTGAGACTCATTAGTTGTTGTTTTAGTGACGAGAGACTGCTGGGTCACCTTGGAGTAGATGGTGGCGTTGATCCAGGCCAGTCTCCGGCTCAGGTGGTTCAGCTTCTCTGCAAAAACCTTCTGGCTTTTCTGGAGCTCCTCCAGGATGTCTGGTCTCTGAAGGACAGAAAACACCGGGGGGTCTTTATACATCTCAAGAGTCTGGTATCACTGCTAACGTCTTATGTTACTACAGAGACATACATGGATCGTCTTTGTATTCATTCTGCTTTCTTTGCCGGTCAAGTGACCACACTCAGGTAGCTGATGTCAAGTGAAACACCTTTGCCTTTTACCTCCCTTCTCCTGATTGGTCTTTGCAGTTAAGCTGGAGACACAGTGGATCGGTTGATGGATCCTATTTTCTATTGAGAGCAGGAGATCCTGACAAAAACGTCGCGGCCAGTTGACTGACCATTTGCTGTATCTGAATTTGCATAAACACGACTCGATCTCAGGCAATTCATTTGTTGACTTCTTCAGATAATTGTAAACCTTCGGCTTCTAATCATGTCACTGTTTGCTGGTGGAACTTGTGTCCTGCGTGAAGCTAATGAGACGAGCTAGCATAACAGGCTGACAGGTGTGCTAACTGGAGCACGGCCAATTATCTTCAACTGAGCACCAAACAAACAAAAATAAAATTTAACTCCACAACCATCATCGAGCTGCATAACACTCGTACACAGAAGTTTTTAAGGGCGCAGAGGCGGAGATACTGTGTGGGGGTGAGAGGGACAGGTACACAGGAAGTTAAGTTTTTGGAGTTTGGCTGCTGATTGGACGGCTCAGCAGCACGGTCAGCAGGTGGAGCTGCAGCAGAGACTCACAGCTGCAGTCGTAACTCGACTCGAAAATAGAGTTAGATGGAAGTCAGGCTGGTTTATTTTCATTTTATTTCGGTTTGTATTTCAGGAGCCACAGAGCCGTGATAGTGAGGGGAGGAAGCAGCTTTTTATTTATTTTTATTCATTTATTTTGAATCTACACTGTTTTTGTTCATGTGTTCATGTTGCTCTGCTCCGCCTCAGAGACCTTTTCCTGAATGAGGTTAACACACTCTGCAACCTGAAGACAACAACAGTATTGTCATGGAAACACAGTCCACTTAACATGCGGCCTTTCGGCTCATTAAACCTCAAAACAAATGAACTCAACACAAATGTTAAATGAGACCGAGCTTACTCTCGCAGGGCATCGTGCGATCTTCTCCTCGGTGTCCTTCAGTGCGACGGCGTACTCGTGCACGTCATCTGAAACCACCACCATCTGGAAGGAGAAACAAACTCATGATCTTTCTGTAGTCCTGCACTTGTTGTTTGGACATTTAAGTTCTTTATTTAGCTTTATGATAGTAACCGCCAACTTTATAAATATGCATTTAAATGTGCTTCTTTTCTGTACTTCTCTGAACCTCCGAAACTCTTTTCTTGGGTTTTAAAAACTCATCAATCATCAGCACACTAACAGGATCACAGATCTACTCGTTAGTTTCAGAAGTTGGAGGCAAATACCTGATGATGAAGCTGCTATTGTGCTTTCTATATGATAATATATCAAACCAAACACAAGAACTTGTAAACATGTCAACATGCTAAGTTTAAAGCAACATTATGTAGCAAATGTACCTTAACAGCTTCAAAATCATTTAAAAGGGCAAATCATTAAACTGACCGCTCCTGTGCTATAACTCTGGAATCCCGAGCACCAACATGACTCTTGATAAGAAGCAAACAGTTTATAATGTACAATGTGAGTTCTTTGGAAGAACTTAGCTCAGTATTCTCAGTATCATGGCAGAGGCTGCGATTATACCGAAGAAGATGAGGAGGGAGCATGAAAGAGAATAATAGTGACCAAGCAAGAGACACAGACAAGAGTAAATATCAGACTGGCTTTTACTCATTGAGCTAAAAGAGCTGAAAGGATGCAGCACAGACAGCGAGCTGTATTATATAATATTTCTGTGCCTTGTATTGTCGCTCTTGCTTGAAGCTTGGCTGTCAGCAAAGTTTTCCACTTGTTAGCCACATCACACACAAAAACAAACCTTAAATAATGTTGCTTTAAGTTAAAATTATGTTTAGCTTCCTTTAGATAATAGAAATCAGATGATAATGTTGCATCTTTACAAAAAGCTACACTGTGCTACACTGATCTGATGGAGAAATTTAAATGTCAATAAATTATGACCACATTTTTCCAGTCTGCAGTCTTCTTCTTAGGTACGGCCCCAACAACCTCCAGCACGAAGGCAGCCTGAGAGGTGAAACTCAGGGCATAAAATCTCAAGTTAAGCTGGTTAAGACAGCCAACAGTAAAAACGAAAGAAGAGTCAGATGTTTTATTTGAAATTCTGAATATAGTTGATTTGTAATGAGCTTTTTGAATTCAAGACTTGCAATCTATAACGCGACAGCGTTTCATCAGTTTGCCTTGTGAAGGAGGAGGAGCCTAACCAGTAAAGCCGAGCTGATCAGATAATAAGGACACCGAACATGAGACATGACAGACTACACATCAGTTTCCAACCAATCATAGCTTACAGTCTTTCACAAGCTGCATGATGTCATGGGGGAGGAGGTTCCCGGGACTTTGCAAATTAGTTTGAACTTGACTCTTTGAAAAAGTGACAGCCGCAGACAGAGGACACAGCTAACCAAGATTTTAGTGAGAAGATGTATTAGGAACTAAAGTGGGAGGTGGTAGCAGAAAGAGCTTATTTTGTAGGTGTATAAAACACAGAAAGATGCAACACTTCACTGTCAAACAGAATACGTGAAACATCAACAGTCTTTTACTGATCTATATATATCTGAAACAGCTCATCACAACAGTCTGCTGAGATGATGACCAATCATTGTGGAGCTATATAGGCTGCTGCCACGTTCAGCACTGCTGGCTGTTTTTAAATTAGAAAAGAGACGTGGCAATAACAGAGAGGTCGAGAGGCCGCGGTTTGAGGAGGAGCAATTTCTGATTAAACTGCAGACCAGATGTGAGGATTACTTGGCGATGAGAAGGAAAATAAAAGAGATGAAAGAATCATGGAAGCAGATTCACGAAGGAGAAATGGCATCATCAGTCAGAAGAAAGAACGTTCAGGAGAACAGCTGTGTACAGAATCCTTAATTAACAAGAAATGATCAAACCAGAGAAATCTCTATACACCTGAAAGTGCTGAAATGTTTGATGTATGCAAAAACATTATTCATGTACACGGCTGCAGTTAGGAGGGGCGGCTGCAGAGGTCATGGGGATTAAAATAAATCTGCAGATCGCCATGTCAGTGTGACAAAAAATAAAGACAGAAAACCCAAGTGATCCTTTACTCCAGACGATCTTCACACAGGTCTGACTGTGTTTAGTATCAACGGCTCTTTATGAAGCTGCGACTTTAACGAGAGACATCTACAGAAATCTTTAGCTTGCAGGAAAAGTGACATTTGTAAATATGATGGTGAGAACAGGCTCACAGAGAGGGTGCAGAGCAGAGACAGCTTCAACACAAGTTCACCAAAATATACCTTGATTTGTTCAACATGGAGCTAACAATCAATGTGTAGCATCAAATCTGAATCAGCTTGCATTTTGTGAAAATCATCTTCTCTAAGCTAACTGGCAGTTTCATATTCAGGGCACAGACATTGAGAGTCAGATGTTCAGATTGATGCCACTCTCAGAGAGGAAGGGGAGGAAGACGTTCCTTTAGGCAGAGTTCACAGCAACAGCAGTGACGTTCCTGAGCTCAGGGACGAGACAGGTTGCTTTGCTCAGACGAAGGACACACTGTCGGCCTAAAGTCTGCAGCCATGCTAGCAGCTCTGTGAGGACGCACTGCTAAATGCTATCATCAACATGCTAACATGCTCACAGTGATAATGCTAACATTTTGACGTTTAGCTGGTTTAATGTTGGCCAAGTTCACCGTCTTAGTACAGCGTGTTAGCAGAGATATTTCACTAATGAGGAAAAGTCAGGATGTTTCAACTGGAGCTGCAAAGATTAGTCGATTAATCGATCAACAGAAAACTAATCACCAACTAATGGTCATTATTCTAAGGAAAAATGCCAAACATTCTCTGGTTCTCAAATGTGAGAATTTAATCTTTCCTTTGTCTTATAACTAAACCTCTTTCGTTATTTACTTTACTTTATTGGCTAAACGATTCATCAATGGGCCAAGAAAACAATAATTACAGTCAACTGTTATGCAGATGACACAGTTGTATATCTCTCTGGTCACACTACAGAGCAGCTGAGCTGATGTGAGAAATAATTCAGTTTAACACCTTTGTAAAGACTAGTAAATATAGTAATGGTTACGCTACAACCTAAAGTTTAGACAACACACAATAAATGTGTTCAATCAACTCAGGAATAAATTCATAATTAGTCCAATGTTGTATTTTTCAGGAATACAGCTAGATTATGCTATATCTTCACGCCTGGTTGATTTTAAAGCCTTGTTACTAGAAGAGACTTCAGAGAAAACGATCCAGAGTAGACTGAAGCGCTCGGACAAGAGGGCAACACACTTTATCAAATGACAAGTGCTTTGACTCCAGGTGTGTCTTCAACAGAACAGAGACTCACATTCTCTTAAATAACCTCCGCTAATTGGAAACTCATTCAGCACCAGCTGGAAAAATGTAGAGGGGCAGAGTTCAAATAATTTTAGATAGATAAATAAATAAATAAATAAATAAGCAAGTCTATTAAAATATCTCCAAATATAAGTGAAAATAATAGATTGCATCAAAACACTATAAATATCTAAGAAACTACTATACCACTACACCTGGATCGTAAACCCCATCATACTGTATCAGTGAATCAAGCAACAGGACATAATTTAAAAAAGTGAGCGTTGGCTTTAAGGCTGCAAGGAAACAAGTGACGTTCAGCTGATGGTTTATTCACGCAGCAATCTATTGATGATATCTCCACCTGTCGTGGGCGGAGTAGAATCTTAGTTTGACCAACATAGAGTTTTCAGGATATTTATGATACGTAGACAACAGTTGATGAAAGATGTGATGTTTTACAAATATTTTATTGAGAGTATCCTGTGTTATTGAAATGTGTGTTGGTATGGATATTCCAAAATCACTCCCAGGAATAAATTAGGAAAAACTGTGAAGACCTGTGGGGAAATCATGGGAGAACAGCTGGCTGACCTACATTGCCTGAACCTTAAAGGGCTGACTGAGAAAGCAGACAAGATCTGCAGGGACACATCCCAGTCCCTTCCGGTCAGCTGTAAAAATACTCCGAGATTAAAACCAATCGTGCAAAAAACTAATTTATACCCATGGCAATAACTCAAATAAATGAGATACAGAAGCCAAGATGAGTCCGGGGGAAACACGCGGACTAGGGTACGTGGAATAGACAGAGGGGATGTGTAATTTAAATCACTGTTATTTTTATGACATCTGACTGATACAGTTACTGACATGCACTTTAAATGCCAGCTGGACTTTGAGGACATATTTATTTAATTCTCATTTTATCACGGTGGATAGATGATCTTAGACTATTGTTGCTTCTGTTTATTTGACACGTTGGCTTTTTGTGTTATGGTTTTGCTTCTCTGAGGACACTAAAGTTTTCTACGTCCAAGTTACATATTTTAGAGAGCTAGGATTACAACAGTATAAACAATTACCGTGTCTGTAGATTGTAACGCCTTGTTTAGCTGCCTTAATGCTCGAGCTGTAGCTTCACACTGTGCACAGCTCTACAACCACTCTGCTCTGCAACAGTTTGTCTAGCCACACTGGTTATTGTTTCTGTAAGTATTTATCACCAGAAACCGCAGTATGTCAGTGAACTTTTAACTATTCACTATCCCTCAAAGCAGCTTCAGGCCTTTATCTGTGGTGCTGTAGCGACTCCATGGCTTCAGGTTAGCCTTTCACTCGGTATTTAGTCTGATGCGGCCTCAGCTTTTACATCCTGTCTTCAAACACATTTTTATAAACTTATCTTCTTTTCTGAAAACTATGCTCATTTGTTCGCATGAAACAGCTCTGTCATGTGCTTCCTCTTGTTGATGGATGGTTTTTATGTGTGTGATTATCTCTCCCTGCATTTGAAAACCATTTGTGCTATAACATTATTTTTATTATTGTCATTATCATTGTCATCATTATTCAGACAGCAGGATGTTACTTTCCTTACATCATGGACAGCCTTCAGTCCATCAGGTGCACTTCCCTACATGTATATATGTGCACTCACTCAGAAAGCATTTCCCATCAGAC